CCCATCACCTTCTCCAAAATCAAGCATCTCAAGACTGCCATGGAGATATGGCAAGGTCTTGGGAAGCTATGTGAGGGATCAGAGGACTTGAGAAAGCAGAAGATAGAAGTCCTGCTTGAGAAGTTCAAAAGCTTCAAAATGCTTCCCGGAGAATCATTCGATATGTTGGATGAAAGATTCCACAAAATCTTGAATGATCTTGCCTCACTTAACCACGTTCTTTCTCCCAAAGAAAAGAATGTAAGGTTGCTGAGATCTCTTCCAACTGAGTGGTACACCAAAGCCACAACCATGGAAGAAGGAAGAAACCTGGAAAACTACACTGTCCAGGGTCTTCTTGATGAGCTCAGAACCTATGAGCACGAGCTGAAGAAGAAGAAGGATGAACAAGTCACTCCCTTCCCCACGGCACTGATGACAACTCCAAGAGTTCCATCAAGTGAAGGGACATGTCCAAGAAGCTGTGACACACCTTCCTCCAGCCAGCCGTCAAGCTCAAAAATGGAGAACTACGATGAGGAATTTGCCATGATGGTCAAGCAATTCCGGAAGTTCAAGACGTTCTTCAAGAAGGCCAACTCAGTCAGAAGGCCAACCAAGGGAAAGCCACAAGTAAGTGACTCCCCTCTTGAATCTTAGTTATAACTGCAGGAAGCCTGTTCACTGGAAGTCAGCATGCCCGTACCCAAAGGTGGAAAAGTACGGAGAAAGAGAAAGGAACGAGAAGAAAAAGAAGGCAATGGTTGCTGCTGAGAGTGACGAGTCATCCAGCTCAAGCTCGGATGAAGAAGCCCTCATCTGCATGGAGCGCAGAGTTGAAAAGTCCAACCAAGAGGATAGGTGGACTATGTCAGAAGATGACACTCTCTGCCTAATGGCCAAAGATGATGCTAATCAAGAGGTAACTTCACAAACCTCCTGCTCATCTTCTTATGAAAGCATACCAACTTCTGAAAATCTTTTTGACCAGTTCAAAAAGATGATGGTAGATTTTGAGGAAATAAATCTCAAACACTCATCCTTAACAGAGGAGAACAAACTATTGAGTGAATAGAATCTCAAGTTGACTGAAGGTCGGAAAAGTCAACTGAATGAGATCACTCAACTCAAAACTGAAAATGAATCTCTCTCTGAAAAGGTGAAATCCCTTAACAAAGAACTAGGGACACTTAAGTCCAAAGAAGCAGTGGATAAACTTCTTGAAACGACCAAACATAAGGGTCGTGAAGGACTTGGGTTTGACCCCTCCAGTTCCAAAAGAAAAGGGAGAACAACCTTCATCCCTCCTAAACCTACTGCTAAACCAAATAAGCAGAAAGGAAAGGAAAAGGAGAAACCAACA